TACATTGGTCTGTCTATCAACAGGAAGCTCAGCATTTGTGTGCTCATTGAATTACATCCTCGTAATTAATACAGAGGTGTACTTCTCCATTTCTCCAAAAATTACAAATTGCCTGGTTAGTCTCAGCTCGTTAAGACACAGATCTTACTTACAAGTCACTCAGTCATTTGAAAATAATGAAATATTGGTATTTATAGTGTTTTCAAGTTGTTATATATATAAACCTGAAAATCCTCTATGAACAGACATCAGATTCTGGATAGATGGTGCCAGTCAAACTACTTTAGAAAGAGAGTATAAGCTACCAAAAATGAAGACCCGGTAGCTATTGCCTGTGAAGATAGGATACGTTTCATTAAGATTTTAACTATATTTTAACTTGGTATGAATTTCCAAAATTATCTCTACGTGAATCCTCACTAAGTGCGAATACATGGCAAATGCAGTTGAAAATAAATCCTATCTTGTATGATAAACCTCTATCAGTTTCAAGGGGTTTTATTTATAGATAAAGTACATTTTTAAAATTGTAAAATGTATATTGGGAACACTTCCAGACGTTTATAAAAAGTAGCTTTAATGCTAAAATTGAAGACAATTTGACAAAAACCTAAAATGCAGCATTGAGGGTAGTTTTTATTTTCTTAATAGCTGTAAATAAGACTTAACCAAAATGTATTTCAGGGAGGTTGTGAAAGAAATATTTAAATCCTTGTCTAGATTTACATCCCGATACAGTGTACACCATGCCATAGAGCTGTTTTGAGACAGTTAAGCCTTTTAATATACCTCCTGTAGTACTGAGGCAGTAACATATTGCTTTACCAGTTAAATCCTTTCGGAAGTCATGATATACAAGCAACTTGCCCTCTAAATATTTCACTAATTTCAAGCTGGGTTTCATGCATTGGGTTGTAATGACTGGGGATGCGCTGTGTAAATCCCTATCTGGCACGTTCCGGACGTGGCATAAAAAAATCCTTCTCGGTGCTCAGATCAGAGCTGATAACTGCAGGAATCACAAGCAACAGGGCTGCAGAGGGCCGTGTCACACTGGCTGCTACGTACAAACACTAAACACGGCTTCTAAACATCTTTAAGGAACAACTGCGACTGTGATTTCCATGCACACCTAAATAAAAATTAGCGAGTGATTTTAAAGTACTTCCTCACACGAATGTATGTTCGTACACAATCTGCATTTTAAAGTGCACATACCAAAACACTGCACATTAAAACGTCCCAAAAAATAATCACCAGCTGTATTTTGTAATTAATCATTTATTTATTTCCTGCAATCCCCCAAATCCCCAATCACATGGAAATTTCAGCTCCGAGGCTAGACTGCACACGCTCTCCCTTCTAGTCCAAAGCAAAAGCTTGTTAGAGCCAGGCTGTAAAATCTCAAAAAGAAAATAAAATTTGGCCTTGCAGTCACAGCTGCCCTAGAGGAGGGGCACAAAATCTGTCCCAGTGTGGGGGGTGTTTTCACACAGTGGTGGGCACTTGTGACCCCCTGCTACAAATGGTTAATGTTAAGAAGTTATCAAGAAGGAAAACCTGCCTGTGTTCTGTACAAAGACGACAGTACATTAGTGGGGTGAATGTCTTCTAAGAAAAAAAACCACCTGGAAAGTAAGAAACTCAGTTAAAGCAAAATGAACCTGGAGGTTGTAAGCAGCCAACACAGGCAAGTTCCATTACCCTGAAAAATTAACTACCCCAAGAAATTCCAATACGAGAAAAAAGAGTCCTGGTCAAATATGGATTATTTTTGAAAAAAACTTTTTTCTTTTTTTTTTTTTGGCAGATCCCTCCATCATTCAAAACCTCTGCAACATTTGCCGTCACCGTCAGAGTTAAGCTCATTCCACCTTTGACTTCAGCGCTGTGCAGAAGGCTCACCCCTCTCCTGCTCTGGTGGAGCTGGGGAAGCTGTGTGTTCTTCGCACCGAGAGCACTTCGATTTGACCATCAGTTAAAAGCAACACTTCTTTCTTAGCCTACAAGACTAAAATGGATAATCTTTCCTGAAAGGAATGCGATCCCTCATCGGTAAGACCCATTAACAGGTTTAGCTGAATTTTATCACGCTAGCAGAAGCTGCCGGCTGTAGGTTTTAATAAGCAGGGCTCTTCTTCCTCTATCTTCATTTGCAGGTGAACATTTCCACCCTCAGCCCAAAACCACTCATAAAAATAAAGAAAGAACTCCTCTCCTACCATCTAGAAAATATTTTCTATTACCAAACTCACTGTATTTAATGACATGATTGAAAAACACGTGAAGTGCTACAAAAATTAAACAAGGATTCCTGAACTAGAATATTTTAGAAGACCCCAGAAGATTTGTGCATCACTTTTTCCACCCTTTAAAAATATCTGCCAGTTAAAACTCACATTTACCACCCCAGTAAAAACACCTTAATGCCTTGATTAGATTTCTTTAATAAAAGACCATACTCCGGAAATATTTCAGTTTGGAAATCACATGGACGAATAGTGTTAATGTGTAAGTTTGAGAACCCTGCTACGGAGGATGACATGACAATATTTTAGAATGGATTTTCTAATTTTAGGGCATTTTTGCAGACATGAAACCTATTTCACCTTTACTCTGAATGAATTTGCATTGCTTCAATGTGAGTGGAAGGAGCAGGTAGAAATTTTCTCCCCTTTCCAAGTTCTCCTCAGCTATAAATCGCTACAGCATTGTTAATCATAAAAAGGGGAGGTGGTGGTGTCAGGGTTTCGTTTTCAAAAGTAGGCTGGAAAAACGTATTTTGGAAGTTATATATTAGGAATCCATCAAAAAGTTTGATTATTGTCCAGTCAATTAGGTGTGGAAAAAAAAGTCAGTCCACTGCCGACAAATTACTTGCTCCATTATCTGTCGAAGGAAAGCAGAGGGAACACCGTGGCCGGGACAGAAAACAGTGGAGTCCTTCCCCAGCAGGTAAACCAGCACGGCTGCTGGGTCGAGGTGGCACAGCGGGAAAACGGAATCTGTCCCTTTGCAAATTAATTTCAACAATTTTATCTCCAACATGGCGATGCAAGTTTCAAGGGGCTATGCTTAGGCTCAGCAGAAGGACGTGGGAACGTTCGGTATTTGCTTTTATCCTAAAGCAGGAGAGCGGGAATAGCAATGAGGATCCCTTCCCCGCCTTGGCCAGAAAGTTTTGTTTTAAACTCCTACCAAGTTCTTCTTCAAATTGCACCTACAACACGCAAAGGTCTCAGTTAGTACATGGTCTGTAGGATGCTATACCTGATTCAAAAGTGTCTGTCATGCCAATCCCTTAAGCTCGAGTTTAGAGAAATAATTTGTAATTAAACAATATTAAGCCATCACATGCAGTGGTTAAATAAACAGCCATATGATATATTTAGCACATTCCCTTGTGAGTCCTCGGCTAGTACTCAGAGCTTAAAAGCGATTGACTACCACCGGTCAGAGAAAGTCTTCTGAACCTGCAAAGTTTCGAGCGAACAGTTTCCATTCCCGCAATTTGCCTTTGACCATCATGGTGATATTGATGAGGAGGATTTTGTTACCATATATCCTCACATCAAATAAAACGTTCTCTCATGTTTCATTATCTAGGGACTGTATCACTTAAAAAAAAAAAAAAGAAAAAAAGAAAAAAGAAAAAAATACAGCTATTTAGATACATCAATACATTAAACCTTACGGAGAGAAACCATGCACAGGAGTGTATTTCACTTTTTCAACGAAGAAACACTTTGATAGCCACAAGCGTGAGCTGCACATGTATAAACCATCTAGACAAACCCTGAAAGTATAGAGGTTATTTTGAATTATTTTGCCGTTTATGGCTAAGCTATGTTTTCTGTTACCCTTCTGAAGAAGGCTCCTTCTAAGTCTAGTTTTATTTGGGAATCTACAATCCTTGAAAATCTTAATGTTGGAGAACAAATGGTGAATCTGCCTACAGCCACATCCAAAGCTCATCAGCTGCACAGATTTCAAAGCTGCAATATTAGCCAGTTTTCTGTCTTGATGATACTTTAAACTGCCTTAACTACACATAATATTCTGTCACACGAAAGCCTACAGTAAAGGTCTGCTGCTAGAAAAAAGAGAAATCTATGAGACTGAAGATGCTAACATTGACAAAAGGAGGCATTTTCAAAATATCTCTAACAACTAAACAAAAACCCCAATCTCGAACACAGCAAATGATGATTGAAAATTGTAATAAAGAATAAAACAGTGAAAAAGATGGTTTTGGCCACGTACAAATTACCGTAGATGTAGGAAGATAAGCAGAATAGTGCTAGGCACCAGATTTACCGGGTCAAGTCACAACTTCAGTTCTACCTAGACGGATGACAAATATAATGAAATGTTTAAATTAAGATTTTATTTTCTTCCCCTTCAAATTGGTCCTTCTGTCTCCATTCCAGACTTCTAATTTAGCTCTACTTTTGTATTCCCATCGGGCTCTGCAGTGCTGTTCTCCTTCCTAGGATGGAGCAGCCTCAAACAAGAATTCTGGGTATATCCTGCAACAAGCATCTAAACCAGGTCTCCTTCAAAGGTTTCGCTAAGCTTATTTTTTATTTTTTTTTTTAAAGAAATGCTTAGCCCGTAAGAGAAATCCCCAACGGACCTAGAATTATTTTCATTTTCCTCTGTAGTCCAGATAGTTTTGATGTACTACCGGTATTTTGGACATTTTTGACTGCCACTTGCAACATTGATGACCAGTCAGTACCTGGCCAGTGCTTCAGATTAAGTTGTTGCCTTCTGCTCTGATGTTCCAGTAGAGCCTGAAAACAAAGAGTGAGCCTGAGAGAGCTCCTTGGGGCGAAATTAAGCCCAGGAAAGGGATTGTGTGCGTGCCCAGATATTTGCACCGTAGCAAAATTTCTGGAATTTAACAGATTGCTTCTGCAAAAGTCTTTGAGGGAGAAAATAATAATAACACACAAATCCCTCTACAGAATGATCAAGAGCTACACACAGAGAAATGCTTTCAAAACACGAGCATTTAATTTTTTTAAAATGTTAAGTGAGATGTAAATATGTACGTTAGCAACAAAGTGCCCAAAAGCATACTGAAAACATATTCCATACACAGTTAGCAATAGAAGTCTGTACAAAAGTAATAAAGTTACACATTATAAAAAATACTCCGTAACTATAATTTAAAAGAGGGAAAAAAGACAAGGGAATTGATTTCTCAGTTCATATAATTTATTGCAGTTAGCACACAGTTTAAAAATTCACCAACACACCAATAGTACAAAACTAAACAGCATTATAAGTTATTCCCCCCTCAGGAAAATAAAACATACTATGATTGTCAAAGCTAGATGTCAGTCTAAGTTTTAGAACAAAAGAAGAATGTGAAACTAAGGAAAGGAAAAAAGCAATCACTCACGAGGACCACAAAAAAATCCAAGAGAAAGTCCATTTTCCTCAGACACTGATTGTCTTCTCTAACTTAAGAAAAGAATGTAGTTTTAAAACCTAGAAACTATTCAAGTAACTAAAGATAACGCTCCAAGGCCATTTTCACAGCTTTTTTTTTGTTTTGTTTTAAATGCCATTACAGCCAAATTAACACACATTTGACCAAATATTTCCAAAACAGTCCAGCAATACACAATGGAGTTTTCCATTCAGTATCTTAAGCACAAAAATAGGCTATGTTTACAGTAGTTAAGGCGATCAAATTTTAAACAAAAGCAGAGAAAGAAAAAAAAAAAAGGGGAAGAAAAAAAAAAAGGAAAAAACAGCAAACGTTTTCCATGCTACTCCCATAGACCTTATTTGTAAGTGCAAGACAGGAAAACAAACACTGTGCAAAATGCTTTTGACCTGCGTGTTGGTCATTAAAACCACACGTCAGGCTGCAGTCTCTGCTGCTTGGATACACATAGTCCTTCCCCTGCCCTCCCCCGGCCCCCTCTGTCACTCAACCCTTCCCAGGCCTTTCAGCCCGGGGCTTTTTCTTTTTTTTTTCCCCTCTTTTTTTTTTTTCTTCAGTCCACAGCCTCTTTTCAACGGGGGGAAAAAAAAAAAAAAAAAAAAGAGACACATCAGAAGGAATCCTACCAATGCTCATCTGGGGAAACGGACGCACCTCAGTGGGAGCTGGCGTGGGGTCTGTGCAATTAGAAGGGGTCTGGGGTTAGTAAATGCACACCGCACATGCAAAATCTCGAAGCCTGGTTGTAAACATTCTTTTTTTTTTTTTTCTTCCTTGTTAATGTAGCTATATCGGCGACTCGTAGCTTAAGTTCTTCTCAACTCAAAGACAGTGGGAAAGTAAATTTAAATTAGATAAAATAAAAACAGTGCATTTCTCTTCTTCGCAACACCGGCGTTTTCGACGGCGTCATTTTTTTTTTTTCCTAAGGAAATTAAATAATTTTCAACTCACTCGTTAAAGTTATACAATGCAAACAAAGACAAAAATATACTGAAAATCATGCATTTCTGTAGCGTTAATATTTACTTTTCAAGACTCAACTAAGAGCATCAACACAACCTGCCAAGTTCTTTGATACCTCCCCCCGGCCCATGTAATCAATTACAGTATACAATAACAGTAATTCACATTTTTTAAACACACAGTTCATCACTGCTGAAGCTGCAATATCCTTTTTCATCCCAAGCAAACCTTCACGTAAGACAGAGTCCCAGTGATCCCAGTGTACTCTCAGGGTTTTTGTTTTATGTTTTTTTGTGTTGGTTTTTTGTTTTCTCTTTTTTTTTTTTTCCAGTGGGAACTGTCAGAAATCCAGAAGTTGCCATAATAAGTTTTAAGTCAACCGCTTGTTTAAAAATAGATAATCCAGCATTTCAGAAATTTTCCGTTTGGGTCTAAAAGCATTCAGGTTTCCAACAGCTAGAAAGGACTCATGCAATTATAGAAATGTAAAGGAACTGACAAAATTGGGAGAGGATTTCTACATTCAGATTTTAAGAGGAAAAAGATCGAGAGCTTAAAAGAATGCAGTGTTTTGGGGAGAATAAAGCCACGTCCAAATTTTTTGAACTGGAGATTCCTTAGAAGTAAAGTATCCGCTGGCTTCTATTCCAAAAAGGGGGAAAAAACACGCTCCGCAATTTGTTACTTTGTCGGATTACCTCTACAGTTCGTTTTTATCGGAGTGCTAAATTAGTGAAATACTCATGCTGCCTTAAAGTGCAAAAAACAAGCTAATAGCCAAACTTTCAGTTCAAGGAAACAAGATTGCTTTTAGACTGTACCACAACTATATAGATTTATATATATATTATTTATATATATAAAAATTTTATTTCCAAAGTTCTTGTGAGCTATCTTCTAAGGTCCAGTCTCTGACAGTAGGTAAGCTCAGTGCTTCGCTTTTGACAGACAATGAGTTCACCAACTCACAGTGAAACTTCCGAATGTGTCTGTAAAGGTCTCCGGACTGCGTGAACCTGCGTTCACACCACTTACAAGCGTGAGGCTTCTCCCGCGTGTGAACCACTGCGTGGCGGCTCAGGTTGTGGGAGTACTGGAAGCTCTTCCCACACTGGGTGCAAGTGTAGGGCTTTTCACCTGAATGAGTCCTCTCATGGCGTTTCAAGGTGTACATGCAAGAAAAAGTCTTACCACACAGCGAGCAGGTCGGGACATTGACATCGGTAGCAGGCTTGCTGCGGATCCCGTCCTGCTCCCGAAAGTGCGTGCTTAAATGGATCTGCAGGATGTGGGGGCTAGGAAAGACCTTGTTGCACAGAGGACACATGAAAATTTGGCCGGCGGGGCTGAGTATGTTTGACACGTACGGGAGCAAGCTGCTGTCCATGTTTCCTTCCACCTGGACCCTCTCGTTCTCTGGAGTGATCATTTCGTCATCGCTCGCCTTGTCCTCTCTATCTAGCTCCCTCAAGACCGAATCTTCCCTCATCGGAGCCAGGTGGGCCGGCTCGTACTGTACCCTGTTATTAGTGCTCACACTTTCCTTCACAGTGCTATGTTCCATATCATAGTCATTAGTGCCAACATCACTCTCATCACAGGAAGCCTCTTTCTCCACCTTCACCTGAACCAGGCTGCTTCTAAGCATGTCCTGCGAAGAGAAATAAGAACTGTTCAGATTTTCAACTCCTGAAAGGCTGGACTTGACAGACAGGTCCAGCACGCAGTCAACATCTGCTGAATCCCTCACGGAGGTGACAGACCTCTGGGACAAAGACTCTGTTGAGCTGCAGGGGCTGGCTACTGTTTTTCCAGCTGCTGCCGCGTGCGTCTCTGCCTCTCCGCCAGTCTGGGGAATGCCTGCTGAGTCTGAGGGCAATCTCATCCACATGTTCCCAGGCTCGGCCGCCAAGTCCCTTTTGCTAGGCAGGATGTTCAATTTTTCATCTTCTCCATCGTCTTCATCACTGGGCAAGTCTCCTGGCATGTGGCTGCTGCCGTCGGAGAGGCTCTCCACTTTGTCTGAGCAACTTGAGGCGTCTTCCTCCTTTTTTGTACTGTCTGCCTCTGTGGTTGCTTTCTCTTTCAGCTTCTTTTTGCAGACTTTGACAATGTCATACATGTGGAGATAACTGGCAGCTGCTAGCACGTCTTCAATGGGCAAGTCTTTGAACTGGAGCTTTCCTTCATACATGAATTCAAGCAGGAGAGCGAAAGCTGGGGCTGTAACAATGTCGCTGTTCAGATGAACAATGTCCCTTTTGTCCAGCTGGTCCTTGTAAAAGAGGTGGAAATACATGCTGCATGAAGCCAGTACAGCTCTGTGCGCTCGGAACTGGGCATCTCCTACCAGAACAGTGCAATCACAAAGAAAACCCTGATGTCTCTGCTCACTCAGACACTGTAGCAAATGTCTGCTGTGGTCAGGAAACTCCATACTGTCTTCATAACCTACAAGCAACGAGATTTTTAGAAATTAAACGTAGGTCAGAATCATGGAACTTACAAAGACAAGTTACGCCACTCTAAAAACCTCGCATTTATATTGCCAGAATCCTTCTGACACCACGCAAAGATTACTTAACATGCACGTACGATTGGCAACTCTTTCCTTGACCAACCACTGAAGTTACAATTTCCCTTCTGGGGCAAATAAGCCGTTCTAATAAGCGCATTGGTACATTTGCAATTTTTTTAAAGGATCGCTGCTGTTCATAAAATCTGTTCAACATTTTTTTTTTCTCAGAGAACTTCCTCCAGATTGCGTCCCAATTGGGGGCAGACATCCCCCCCCCCAAATAATCTCATTTTAAACAGTAAGTTTGAGAGATCACAGAGGGGGGAAGAACAAAAATGAAAATCAGATTATCAACCTTCTTTTTGAAGTCAAAGTGTAGTAAGAGGAGAGGTTCACGCATGAAGAAATGAATATACCCAAATCTGAAGGTCTAACATTCATAAAGTATAAAAATTATCCATGGGTGTCAATTTATATTGACAGCAAAATCAAGGTTTTTAGAAATATAGTTTGCGTGGCTTTCTTCTTACAGTAAGCACGGTTTCAGGTTTTAAACCTTCTCCATGCTGTACAATAGAACATGAACATCTTTTGCCAACATGTAGAATTTACAAAAGAAACTAACAACCAAATGCCAACGAGCACAGAAATTTCCCTCCCCTCCCACACCAGGCAGAGTTTGCAGTACCAAACTTAAAAAAAAAAAAAAGTCATTCAACGTGAGCATGTGTGCATATTTAAAATCAGTATCCCGAATACTGTTCTTACCCAAGTATTTTTCTATTCACCTTCTTTGACGATAAAGAAAAAAAAAACTTAAAAAAGAAGTAGAGAAGTCAAAACTCAAATGGAAAGTAAAATCTCTTAAAAACCTGTCTTAATCTATTCTTCTGTGATTGATAGCAATGCTCTCCCAAACCATCTAAGCAGATCATGGCTCTCTGGGCGGGCAGATATTATTGAAAAATCCTCATCCCTCAGAAACCAAGATGTACTAAAACTTACAACACAACCCCTACTATATTCTGTAAAATACCATTGCTAGAGTAAAGCACGAAGATTTACAATACAATCACTTTAAGTGCCCCACAGCCAACATCAATCCTAATCCTTAAGAGGGCTAAAAATAAAGATTGGAGGGCAGCTCACAAGGTAGCTGTGATCAAATTAGGAGGCTGAAAGGACAGAGAGGGACGAAGAAGGAAGCTTATAAACATCTGATCCAGCTGACTGTGGCCATATGGCAGCTGCTGCCCAGATAAAGAGATTAAGAATAGAGGAGTGCGATTACAGCTGTCTGGCCAATTCAGGCAGCTCAAATCTACAAGTTCTAAATTAGTCGCAAATACAAAAACTCCTTCAAATAATTATTGTTATGCTGAAATAAAAGGTTTCAAATGCTACACGCGAGGAAGAAAAGAAGAAGCCAGTCAAGCCATTCTCCCCGGTACAAAAGTTTTTAAACACATAACTGATTTCTATCTTTCAGAAGCACTACAGCTGTATGCTGCTACGGTTCTAAGCTGCTGGATATACCACCGTGAAGTTTAATGAAAGACTTCCCCACAAAAACATTTCAGCCAGAGCAGTCCTTTTTCAAAAAGCACACTTTTGTCTATTTCACTAAAACCCCCGTAAAGTCACTTAAAAGATGCAATAGGAGAAGAACATAAAGCAGAACTCTCTTTAGGCTTGCCACTAAATCCACTGCAGTTTTGGTCTCAGAAATTAAGACGGAACTTCCTCTCTCCTTCTTCCAAACCAAGACATTCTCACAATATGTATTAAAGTTAACGCTAACAACGTGCCCCAGAACTGATACTCTCCGACTGTAGCCCAAGTCCACTTATCTATTTAATACTCAATTTCACATATTACCTCTAAACTTGGTTAGAAAAGTAATGTGATTTTTTTTCCCCCTGAAATTCAATAAACAACACACCAAAACAGAAATATGCTGTATCTAATCTATTGCTACTCCTACCTTTAGTACACATAAACCTGATTAAGTCCTTTCCTCTGAGTCTTGCTGGCTCCAGGTCTGTTAGATCGGTGGAAAAAAAGCAGACTAGGAGAGACAGATGCAAAGTGGAGATGATGTTAGAGAGGAATGAGATACCTTCTCCACACACAGATCTGCACACACTAACTCCCTGTCTGTGTGTTAGAATAAAAGGCTGAGGGATGGCAGGCTGTCAGCTGCTCTGACATCATGTTCAGATGGAAATGCTACCTCCAGCTGTGCTCCTTTTAATGCCATATGCTACTCCTCTACACTCCTGCCACCAGCTTTTTCTTAGGAGAACTTTTCTCTTCTGTTAGTATAAACAAAATACTTCAAAGTCTCTTTTTTTCAAACTTTCTAACAGGGAGGGGAGGAAAAAAAAAAGAAAAAAAAAGAAAATCCTAAACATATGGGGCTCTGCTGTATTTGCAGCATAGCAACACTTCTGCCTTAAGTTGGAGGACCCGCTCTCTACGCTGACAGCGCAGACCGGCCGCGGGGCTACCCGAGAAATCCGCACCGCTCCGGTTTTACGGAGCCCCGGGGTTCGGCCGGGGGTGGAACCGAACCGGACCAGA